AGAAATAAAATTACAGCTTTATTACTTTGGTATAAAAACAAATTAGACAAATAAACATTCTCTTACCGAGAGTGTTATAACTTATAAACACATTTACTATATTTATCATACACATAACCTGCCAACACCATCAGTATTTTAGTAGGGGTTATAACACTTTTTAGAAAGTCACATAGCACATACTATTAAGTGGTCAAACAATAATTTATATAATCTGACTTTGTGTTTTTTCATTTCAAAATAACTGGTATCAGAGAGCAAATGATATGTGTTGCAGAGCTAATGAAACCATTCAACAGCAAATTAAAAAAACTCATTAGTGTGGAAACATGTTAAAAATAATAGCCTCATGATATAATCATTAAGTTAGAAAAGTACCATCTTAATCATAGAATAATTAAAACTTACACATTTAATACATTTGCATCAATGATTTAACTTTCACTGCCATCAACACATTCATTTTTATTTGACGCACTATATATATATCCTTTATTTTAGCTTTGAAAGTGGTATTAATTATGTGTGACTTTGTAATTATGTACCACCATGAAAAATAGGTATTCCCCTTTAGACTTCCCAATGTTTACCAGTTTCAAGTTTCAGATAAGTTATGAAGTATTAGAACATGTCTTTTTTTTATGGTGCATCTAAAAATAAACCTGGAACTGGGAGAAAAATTTCTCTATAAACATGACAGTAAAAATAGTGCATAATAACATAACATAATGTTTTGGGACAACAAGGGACCTATTGGTCCATCTTGGCTGTTCCATCCTCTAAATTACGTTAAAATAATTTCTAAAAAAGTCTTAAAGCCAGCCCTTATGATTCATATACTTATCAAGCTTTTTCTTAAACTCATGTAAATTTACTGCCTCTACAATGAAGTAGCTAAAATCTAAACTTGCCCATGAAAACTGCATTCTAACAATTAATCTCTGAGGCAAGAGACTCATCTTATTCAAGAGTTAATGTCCAAAGGATTAAAGAAGAAAAAACACTTTCAAAGCCTAATTATTATGTTAAACTAGCATAAATAGTTACTCCTTAAACAAGAGACTCTAGAGTCTAGCACAACCTAAAGTATTGTTAAGTCGGCTGAAGCTACATATGCTATTTGTTTATACAGCCAAATGAAAAAACTATAGGACTGTCATTCTGATAATCTATAATTTTGGGTATGTACATGGTTATTTTGGAATTTTACGTATTACTAATTTAAAGTACCTAGTTAAGCTACAGAATTACATGTATATCACTGTCTACATAAAAATAAGATATGAGAAAGAATATATGTAGCTATCATGTATACATTGATATAAAAAAACTGCACATCCTTCATGAAAGCAGTTTACAGTCTTGACTATATATATGACAATTTTGGGACATAACATGTTACCAGTCTTCTTCCAACTAAGCTACATACAAACCAAACTTAAACCAAGGTAACCAAACCTAGCCTCACATACTTACATTCCAAGTTAAAAGGAAAAGGCCCCAACTCTTCATGTTAATTTTTTTACCTGTGTAGGTAGCTCAGATAAGCGATATAAAATATGGGAAGAACTATGTATTTAAAATTGAAATTTAATAGCACAGATTTTTTCAAATATTTTAATTTTAATTCAAATAAAAAATGGCAGATGAAGTACAACCACCATACAACATAATGCAATTTGTATTGTGTGTGTAATCCATGTGAATAAATTACTTAATATTAAGTTATTAAACTTATAGTGCCATTTATTTATCTTTTAAAGATACTCACTCTTTATTGATATATTACAAGTCAAAAATGAAGGTGGACACTTGAGGCCTTATACTTATTTGCAAGAAAAATTAACATAAAGAGTTGGGGACTTCTTCACCATAACCTTAAAATAAATTGACCAAACTTAACCTTCAGTAATGTAGAGAATACAGTATGCCTACTTATACCAATCATGGTTTTTTGTGCAATCAGGCAAAGGCAGACAAAAATTAATGTTTCTATACTGCTATCATGTACAGAAAATCTAAGTCCACAAGTCCCAAGAGAAACACACAAGGAAGAGAAGTATCATGGGTTAGATTCAAATACTAAACCATGAGATCCTGAGACTACTGCTTTTGTCTCCTATGCCACCAAGTCCTGCTATATGCTGTGAAACATGAATATTTATGAATACAAATTACAAATAATCAAACTCACAGTGTAGCTGTACATAGCATGGTGCATAATAATTGTGTATATACTATATATATAATATACTATAGTCACTACCATCATAAGCTATTGCAAAAGCCAAATCTTAATAATAGTTAATACTCAAATTATCAATTCTAAGCACATTTGGCTTCATTTAAATTTTAATACTAGTAATACTAATAGTATCATACTGGTGGTAAACCGTAAAGTTACCATCTAAAGGGTTGTAAATGTGAGCTCCAAAAACGACCGAAAAAAGAGAATATACTTTATAAATTAAGGAAAATACATTTTATGATATTTCTCTTATTTTTTACAATAAAACAGTGAAAAGAAAAACAATAAGTTGAATAACGAAACAAGAGCGAGTAGGAAATTATGACATTAAAAAGGAAAAGAATATATTATATATATATATATAATTTCTTTTACGGTGTTTGTTTTTTCCACCTTCTATTCTATTGTGTATAAAAAAAAAGGAAACACCATACAACATATTTCATATTTCCTTTAAGTTTAAAGTATATCATCTACCTTTTCCGGTGTTTAGTATATGCGCGCCGCACTAAGCTTAAGTAACTGTCACTATCGATATTATCAGTCATTTCTAAAAGTAAAACTCCAATTCAAACATAGCCTTCAATTTCATTTTTACTTACGAACATCATCAAATGGTCCAAGAACATATATGTATCTGTTGAATTCATATTTTTTAATATAATCAGCTAACCAGTAGCTATCTATATTAGCACAGATATTATCGAGACAAATATTTCTCAAACTATTTGCACTTTTCCGCCGAGGCATACTTTTTTACTACCTTTAAGTGATTGAAGCGCTCTCTTACCAAATTTCAGTATGTTTGAATTATTTAATTGTTTAAAAGAACGATAGTTAACATTAAATTTCAATGATCAACTTTTTCATGAAAATTTAATATTGATTGTTTAATTTTCAGCTTTTATTAATTATTTATATGTAAGGTCATTTCCGAATTTCAGGCATATTGTCTGATTGATTTTATAATAGATGATACTTTTGTTAATTTTATACCTCACTTATTTAAATAAAGGTTGAAGCAGAGCCATCGTGAGAAAAGTATGAGCTCCTGCAAAGTATTTAATCTTTGCCCATTACATCAGTCACTGGGGTTGTAAGTAATACCCTGAAAAACATAGTTGCAGCATTGCATAGAGTAGTATCTTATTCACTAGAGTGCGCAGTGCGCACTCCTGTCTAAGTCATTGAGAATTGTTGTACCGACATGAGGATCCCAAGATGGCGTTCAAAACAGATAACGATACGAGAAACGTAAACAAACACATGTGTGCAACAGTACAGTAAAATTGCCGTAAACCTCACTGTAAATTTCATGGAATGTTGTGTAACACACTATTTTGTTATTAAAAACACTCAATATTACGTTTTTATTTTATTCTATTCTCAACTAAACCTGAACATAT